AGAAAGAAAGAAAGAAAGGTGGGAAGGAAGGAGATATAATGGACCCTGAGAATAACTCTAATAAACACCAGGCAAAGCCAGCAACCAAAACAGAAGTCAGATCAAAGCAATATTCAACCCTAAGCAGAATTTTGTACCATCAACTAACCATCTGATCCTCTCCGTTGCTCTTCTCTGCACTCTTTCTAAAGTTTCCACATCTGTATCGTGGCGCCCCAAAACTCAAGGCAGTGAGACCACGGCTGGTAACCCAGAAGTAAGAAACAAGGCCTTTTGCTGGCTAGCGGTCACCTACTCCTGCCCCCCCATCCATTAGGACTTTAGGGGGAGAGGATAAACGATACTGGGAACCAGATGGCTCCTAGTCCTCATGGGGGAATCCAGAACCTTCCCTGCTGGGACCGAGTGACTAACACAGCCTCCTCCGTGATTCAGGGCAACGGAGCAACGGCAGAGACAGGAAGACGTCTGATATTCCAGTTGTTTATCCAGCTTTCATCAACTGCGCCAGGGCAAAAGTCAGGCCAGTTGGGAATTTTGGGGGCCTGAAGTCCCAGCAAAAGGTTCAAAGGCCAATGTTGCAGGAAACGCAGTCCCTGGGGGCACTGGCTGCCTTCAGAGTTTTTATTGCAAGTGGAAGAAGCAGCCGGGAACAAGCCCTGATCCTTGGACCTCGCGTCCACCCAGGTGGTCAGCTCGGATTCGGGAAGCCAGGCCGGCCAGCGGGACGAGGTGGGGTTGCATTCCCTACAAAGTTCTCTGCTCATAAAAAGCTAGCCGAAAGAATTAAAAAAAATACAACAGAATTGGAAAAGACTTTGGAAGTTTTCTGGTCCAGGGGTCCCCAATCCTAGTACGGGGATGTGGCCCGTTCGGAACCGGGCTACAGAAGCGGTGGGGGCCACTATTCTAGTCCTACCCCCTGCTAGAACAGGAGACCCAATTCCATTTCAGACAAACAGTTGTCCAATCTCTTCTTAAAAGCCTCCAGTGATCTTCCTATGCTTTAGCCTCCAGTCCCCTGATCATCTTTGTTGCTCTTCTCTGTACTCTTTCCAGAGTCTCAGCATCTTTTTTGATATTGTGGTGACCAGAATTGGATGCCCTATTCCCAGTGTGGCCTGACCAAGGCCTTCACGTGATCTTGATTCTATCCCTCTGTTAATGCAGCCTAGGATTGTGTTGGCTTTTTTGGCAGCTGCAGCACACGGCTGGCTCCTGTTTAAAGGATCATCCACTTCAAGACTCCTCTCACAGTTGCTACTACTGAGCCAGGTACCACCTATACTGTACCTGTGCATTTGCTTTTCCAAAGCGCCCGAAGGCAGGACAAGAAGCAACGGGTGGAAACTGATCAAGGAGAGAAGCAACCTGGAACTAAGGAGAAACTTCCTGACAGTGAGAACAATTAACCAGTGGAACCACCTGCCTCCAGAAGTGGTGAATGCTCCAACACTGGAAGTTTTTAAGAAGAGACTGGACAGCCATTTGTCCGAAATGGTATAGGGTTACCTGCCTGAGCAGGGGGTTGGACTTGATGACCTCCAAGGTCCCTTCCAACTTTATTATTATTATTATTATTATTATTATTATTATTATTATTACTACTACTACTACTACTACTACTACTACTACTACTACTACTAGCTGTACCCGGCCACGCATTGCTGTGGCTCAGTCTGGTTAAATGGAAAAGAAAGAAAAGAGAAAGCGCACGTTCGTAATATGTTTTACCTGTCACAGGTGTGACATCTATACAATAGTAGGTATATAAAAACACGCGCGTATTCGAATGCAACGTTGTGTCAAAATTTCAAAGCAATCGGTGAAGAACTTTCGGAGATTTAAGATTTTGAACAAATGAACATTTACATTTTTATTTATACAGATAGAAGATATAGAATAGATTATTAAATGCAGAACCTTACTTTTTTTCACCGCTTGAATTTCATTTTGTTTTGCTTTCCCAACCCGAGGTAGCTACAGGGAACTCAAGAGAGCGGATTAACATAATAATGATGATGATGATGATGATGATGATGATGATGATGATGTTGGAAGGGACCTTGGAGGTCATCTAGTCCAACTCCCTGCTCAGGCAAGAAACCCTATACCATTTCAGACAAATGGCTGTCCAATCTCTTCTGAAAAATCTCCAGTATTGGAGCATTCACCGCTTCTGGAGGCAGGTGGTTCCACTGGTTAATTGTTCTAACCTACGGGGTTTTGTGTTTTTTTGGCCAGGCTTTTCCTGCATATTTAGCGTTATGGGGGGTGAGTGGGTGGGACAGACCTAATTGGACCTATTTCAGGATGAGGTTTTCCACAGGAGGCTGCCCACGTCCACAGATGGTCCTTTTCCGGAGACTTCCTGATTCTCCCACTTGTAATCTGATGCTCGGCAATTAGACGTGCTCGGTGGGGGGGGGACCACAGGGGAATTGTGGTCCCTTGCAAAGAACTTCTGTTCACCTTAAATGCCTTCAGGATGGTTTTATGCTTGCAAGGCCCGGCTTCCCCACAGCAAGTTCAGAGGAAAACGTAAACTTTTGCCCAAAAACAAGACTATTTCTGGGAAGGGTTTTAACCTTCGCAATTGTGCATTTCATCTCCCTGACAAGAATAACAGAATAACAGAGTTGGAAGGGAGCGTGCAACCCTCTGCTCAAGTAGTAGACCCTACACCAGGGGTAGGCAACACTGGCTCTTTTATGACTCGTGGACTTCAACTCCCAGCTTACCCTCCAGAAATCGCGGGCACTCCATCACTGGAGGTTTTTAAGAAAAAACAAGACAATCCCCTGTCTGAGATGGTATATAGGTTCTCCTGCTCGAGAAGGGGGCTGGACTAGAAGACCTCCAAGGTCCCTTCCAGCTCTATTCTATTCTGTTCTGTTCTGTTCTGTTCTGTTCTGTTCT